GGCCTGGACCTGACCTGCTTGGCCTTCCCTGGCCTTTCCTTACCTGGCCTTACCTGGCCTTGTATGGCCTGTCTAGACCTGGACTAGCCTTGCCTTGCCTAGCCTTACCTTGCCTTAACTGGCCTTTCCTTTCCTTGCCTGACCTGGCCTGGCCTTCCCTTCATGGGCCTTGGCTTCCCTTGCCTTGTCTTGCCTTGTCTCTCCTTGCCTGGTCTCGCCTGTCTTGCCTGGCGTTGCCTTGCCTTGCCGTGCCTTGCCTTGCTGTCCTGGTTGAAACCCAGCCAGACAGCTTGTTCACTCACTTCCCCCCAGGGGACTTGAGGATATCACGGAAGCACACAATGGTTTGGACTGGGAGGGACCTTAAAGCTCCTCCAGCTCCAACCCCTGCCACTGGCAGAGACAACTTCCACTAGACCAGCTTGCTCCAAGCTCCATTCAACCTGGCCTTGAACACTGCCAGCCATGGGGCAGCCACAGCTTCTCTGGGCACCCTGTGCCACTGTCCCACCACCCTCACAGGGAACAGCTTCTAAGATCTCATCTCAATCTCCCCTCTCTGTCACGTTAAAATCGTTCCCCCTTGGCCCATCCCCACAGGCCCTTGCTGTCCCCACAGGAAATGAGAGCAGATCCCAGGATTATCCCTCGGCAGCCGCAGCGCTCCGCTGCCGGCTCAGCCAGCCCAACTCACACAGCGAGTCCAAAGCAGCCACTCTGGGGAAGTCTCTTGAGGTGTTCTGGCAACTCCTACAGCACCCCAAGATCGCCATCGCCACCCACCTCGTTCCACGCTCCTCTGTCCACAGGCGGCACCGGCTCCGAGACACCAAGACGGGAACCACCAGAGGAGCTGCTCTTGCCTCCTCCACCGGTAGCTTGTGTTCCGTGGGGCAGCTGTCGTCTCCCGGTGCCTCCTCTGAAGAGTTCCATGGGGTTCTGTGACCTCACACACCTGAACACGGGGAGTTCCAGAATCAGCCACCCCTGTGGTCTCCATGTCCCCAAGGTCATTGTGATGCATGAGCTCTGACTGGGTCCATGGGGAGCTCTGGAGGTGCTGCAGGCATTCTCTGGGATTCTCTAGGGGTATCCCCAGGATGCCCTGGGAGTGCACAGAGACACAGGGCCGTGGAGCAAGCTGCTCTAGTGGAAGGTGTCCCTGCCCGTGCCTTTGGGGGCTGGAGCTGGCTGAGCTTTAAGGTCCCTTCCAGCCCAGCCCAGCCCACTCTGGGATTCCATGATTCTCTGTTGTGCCAATGTCGGTCCCTCTCCACTCCTCGTAGGTGGCCGTGACGCCCTGTTCCATGGCCCACGTTGAGCTGTGACCCCTCGCATGCTCCACCTCCGGACCAAAGGCACTGAGAAAGAGCAGCCCGTGAGGGACCTCCCCAAGCCGGCTGGGCAGAGGCTGGTCCCCCTGCAGCGACTCCCGGAGCACCCCTGGGTGCCCAGCGGTCATGGGCACGATGCTGCCGCCATCCCAAAGCCCCAGTGATCTGTGGGGTGGTCTCTGGTGGCTGTAGCCCCTGTTTGAGGCCTCCATTTGTCCCCTGCAGAGCTTGGGTGCATTCCCATGAACCTCCAAATCTCCCTAAACCTCCAGTTCCCTTCCGAACCCCAAATCCCTTCCATTTACTGCCATGGGCCAACAGGGGTACTAAAGACTCAGGGTACTCTGGGTCAAATGTAACCCCTAGCTTTGGGACACTGGCTGTTCCCCAAATCCCTGCACCACCCCGGGGAGCTTTGGGGATCTCCCCCAATGCCAAAATCCCCTCTGAACCCCAAACTCTTCCCCTCAACACATCTCCATGCTGGGGGAATGTTGCTCACTCAAAAGCGACTGAGGGGGCCCTGGGACCCAGGTACATGGGAGATCTCCCAATATAATGTGCCCCCTACAGCACATTTTGGGGATCCCCCCCTGAACCTCAAAATGTTCCTTGAACCCTCAAATCCCTCTGAACACCCAAATTCCTCCCACTTCTCTCAACGGGGCTCCCTAGAGCATCCAATGAGATTCGGCTGCCCTGGGATTGATGGATACCCCAGTCTCGGTAGACAGGGAGTCCCCCAAATAAATGAGCCACCCCAAAGAGTTTTGTGGACCAGCCTGAATCCCCAAATCCCCCCAAACCCAAAGCCCACAGCTCCAAAGCCACCCCGGCTCAGCACAGTGGCACAGACTTGCTAAAAAAGGGGTGTTCCGAAAAGTGGTGTTCCCCCAACACCTGCCCTGGGGATCCATCAAGATGCTCTGGAACCCCGAACACACTGGGGGGACCCCAACATTGCTTTCGGTTCAGCAGTGAATTAGGTGGGCCTAAGGGGGTGGATCCCCAAAAGGGTCACCCCAATAAAGGGGCAAACCAAAACCACACTGCACCCCAAAGGGCCCTGGAGGCACCCAAAGCAATCGTGGTGCCCCTAAATCCTAGGGTAACCCCAAATTTCCCTGAAGCAGCACAAAAGTAGGCAGGACCCCCAAGTGGGGGCCTGGGGCAGCACAAAGTCACCCACATCCTTCCATCACCCCGGGCCCCCCCAGATGAACCCAGGGACCCAAAAACCTGGAGGAGCCCCACCAAACACCCGCCCCCAACTGGGGTACCCCAGAAAAGCTGCTCCCCCCCTCCAATGCCACCCAGCCCCAAATTGCTCCTCGTTGCCCCCAAACCACACCCCATGGGGCATCCCAGCTCCCCCATCCCTGGTATCAGGGAGTTGGGGGGGCCAGCCCCAGAGTGGGGATTGCCTAATTTGGGATGTTCCACCAAAAGACCAGGGAGGTGTGGTGGGGGATGGAGGGTAGGAAGCTCTGCAGAGGGATCTGGACAGGCTGGATCCATGGGCTGTGGCCAATGTGTTGAGGGTCAAGAAGGCAAAGTGCCAGGTCCTGCTCTTGGGCCACAACAACCCCCTGCAATGCTCCAGGTTTGGGGAAGAGGGGCTGAAAACTGCTCATAGGAAAAGAGCTGGGGGTGCTGACTGATGGAGCTGAACATGAGCAGCTTGTGCTCAGGCAGCCAGGAAGCCACCAGCATCCTGGCCTGGATCAGCACCAGTGCGGCAGCAGGGCCAGGGCAGTGGTTGTGCCCCTGCACTGAGCACTGCTGAGGCCGCACCTCGAATCCTGGGTTCACCTCTGGGCCCCTCACTACAAGAGAGACATTGAGGTGCTGGAGCGGGGCAGAGAAGGGCAATGGAGCTGGTGCAGGGCCTGGAGCACAGGGGTGATGGGGAAGGGCTGAGGAAACTGGGGGGGACCTGATCGCTGCCTACAACTGACTGAGAGGAGGATGGAGCCAGGAGGGGCTGGGCTCTGCTCCCAAGGAACAAGGGATGGGACAAGAGGAAATGGCCTCAAGCTGCACCAGGGCAGGTTTAGATGGAGCTGAGGAAGAATTTCTCCGGGAAGCTAGGGACCAGGTTAGGAAAGCTGAGACCCAGTTAGAATTCAGATAGGCTCGGGATGTTAAGGATAACAGGAAGGGATTCTTCAGGTATGTAGCAAATAAAAAACAGACTAGGGACATCATAGCCCCCTTCCGGAAGCTCTTGGGAGAACATGCACAAGTCCATGGGGCCTAATGAAATCCATGCACAGGTCCTGAAGGAGCGGGCGAATGAAGTTGCTAAGCCACTGGTCTTCATATTTGAAAAAACATGGAAGTCAGGTGAAGTTCCTGACGACTGGAAAAAGGGAACTATAACCCCCATTTTCAAGAAGGGGAAAATGGATGACCCGGGGAATTACAGAGCAGTCAGTCTCACCTCCGTGCCTGGCAAAATCTTGGAGCAGATTCTCCTGGAAGGCATGCTAAGGCACATGAAAATCAACAAGGTGCTTGGTGACAGCCAGCAGGGCTTCACTGAGGGGAAATCCTGCCTGACCAATGTGGTGCCCTTCTATGATGGGGCTACAGAACTGATGGACAGGGGTAGAGCAGTTGATGGCATCTACCTGGACTTGTGCAAAGCGTTCGACACCGTCCCACACGACATCCTTGTCTCTAAATTGGAGAGACATCAATTTGATGGATGGAGCACTCGGTGGATAAAGAACTGGCTGCATGGCCGCACACAGAGAGTTGTGGTCAATGGCTCAGTGTCCGGCTGGAGACCAGTAACGAGTGGGGTCCCTCAGGGATCGGGGTTGGGACCGGTCTTGTTCAACGGCCTGCGGCCGTCACAGGGGGCGGAGTCAGCTGAGGGGAGCGGAGGGGGTTACTCTCCCACCCTGCGCTCTGATTGGCTCCGCGGTGCAGTGGGCGGAGCCAGGCGCTGATTGGCTGCCGTGGAAGTGGGCAGGGCGACAAGAACAGAGCGCGCGTTGGCTGGGGGGGAAAGGAGGGAGATGGGGGGCGATGGGACCCCTATGGAACCCTATGGGGCAGGGACAGGTTCACACCCACTGCTGTCTCCATGGCTTTATATGGGGGCAATGGCGGTAATGGGGCAATGGGAGCAATTTGGGGTAACGGGGGGTAATGGGGGTAAGGGGAGGTCTCGGGGTCTCGAGCTCTGCCCCCTGCATCCTGGTACTGGAGCTGCTGCTGCTTCCCCCTCCAAGGGACTCGTAAAGAGATCCCCCCCTCCATGGTCAGACCCTGCAGGGACCCATAGAGACCACATAGAGAGACCCATAGACACCATATAGACCCACAGCCCACAGAGACTCATAGAGGCCCATAGAGACCCCATAGAGACTCATAGAGACCCATAGACACCGCAGAGAGCCAGAAAGCGACCCCAAGTGAACCATAGAGACCCCACAGAGACCCCATAGAGACCCCATAGAGACCCCATAGAGACCCATAGACTACAGGGACTACAACCCTGATCATGCAACGCGGCACCCATAGAGTCCCTTTACGGTGGTGCCCAGCCGGGACTACAACTCCCATCATGCAGCGCGGCACCCATTGAGCCCCGTTATGGCGGCGTCCAGTTATGACTACAACTCCCATCATACCCTGCGGCTCCCATAGAACACCATGATACAGCCGCCAGGCGGTAGTACGACTCCCATCATGCCGCGCGGCAACCAGAGAGCACCACGAGGGCGGCGCCCAGCCTGGACTACAACTCCCATGATGCAGTGTGACACTCCTACCACACCACTAAGGCGCCGCCCGGCTTGGACTACAACTCCCGTCGTGCCGCGCGCCAATTTCGGCCATGATAGCGGGGCTGGGCCGCTGGCTCCGGACCGAGCTGGAGCTGCCCCCAAGCGCCCTCCCATCTGGGACTACATCATGGGCCACGTGCGGCACCCGGGGTGAGGGGGGCACCCCAACATCTGGGGGGGAGGAACTGCAACATCTGGAGGGACCCCAAACCTCGGATCAGTCCCTAAAATACCCGGGGGGGGGGTGTTGTTCCTATAGGAATGTGAAGAAGATCAAAGGGAACCTGCTGTGGTATCCGCTGCACCGCAAAAAGGGGGGGACCCCGAAAATGCCCCCTCTGGGGACCCCCAAGCTCATTAAGGAGCCTCCAAATTCCCTCAGGACCCCCCCAAACCCCTTTTGCCTGTTAGGATCCCCCCCCAAATTTGCATTGGGATCCGATGACCCCCCCCAACACCCCCCAATTCCCCCCTGTGGCCCCCCCCAACCCCTTTTATTCTCCTAAATCCATGCACAGGAGCCCCTAATTTCTTTAGGACCCCTCCAAATCCCATTGGGATCCCCAGGAACCCCCAATTCCTTCCCATTATCCCCCCCAACCTCTCCTTAACCCCCCCCCCCCCCCCCGTATCTTCCTTAACTCGGGGCTCAGGTACTGGCACCTCGAGGAGATTCAGGTTTGGGGGGGGGAGGGTTTGGGGGGGTCTGTATGGGGTTTTGGGGGGTCCCAGAGGGATGGGGGGTTGGGGGGTTTGGGGGAGGCAAATATGGGGGGGGCAAGATTTGGGCGGGGGGGGCCAATTTGAGGGGTGGTGGAGGGAGAAAAAATGGTGCTTAAGGATGGGGGGGGTGGTATCCTCAGGTGACCTTTGGTGTCTCTCCCCAGGGAGGGGCGGGGTCAAGCACGCCTTATATGGAAGTGCGCGAGGCCTTGGAGCAGGTGAGGGCGGAGCTTAAAGTGATGGGCGGGGCCGTGGGCGAGGCCGGGGCAGCGGTGCTGAAGCTGGGTGAGTTCATTGGGGGGGCGGTGGGGTGGGGGGTAAAGGGGCGGGGCTACCGGTCACCTGACCTGAGGCTCTGCCCCCTTTGTTTCCTTATAAAAGAGGCACTGGGGGCGGAGCTTCACCGCCAGGGGGCGGAGCGTCGCCGAGGGGCGGAGCATCGGGCCCTGGGGGCGGAGGCAGCGCAGGAGGGGCTGCGGCTGCGGAGGGAGGGGGCCCAGATAAGCTCCGCCCACCGTTGAGCGAGGAGGGGGCGGGGTTTCCCCATGGGTATCCCAATGGGGGCGGGGGGCAGCATTCCCATGATGCTCTGTGCTTGCAGGGAGCTGGGGCCAAAGGTGGGACTAATGTCGAAATTGCCGGTAAGAAGGGGTGGGGCTTATTGGGAAGGAGGAGGGGCTTATGGACGGGGGAGGGGTCTGAGCGTGGCCACGCCCCCATTGCCCCGCCCGCCCCCCCCCCCCAGGCTGTGTGCAAGCTGCCGGAGGAGGCCCTGGAGGAGCTGCTGGGGCTCCGCCCCTTGTCGAGGTAAGCCCCGCCCCCTTCGGGGCAAGCCCCGCCCATTGCTGCCATAAACTCCTCCCTGTCCATCACCCCTCCAACCCCCCTGCTCTTCCCATTGCCCCCCCAGGCCGCAGGACCTCACCTTGCTCTGGCTGCAGGAGGCCAAGGTGGGTGCCCAAGGGGGGAGGGTGGGGGGGGAGGTGACTGATCCTAACGGTCATGTGACCCCCCCCCCATGTGACCTGACACCCCCTTCACCCTCCCCACCAGGCACTGCTGAACCAACACAGCCCAGAGGAGGTGCTGGAGGCCCTGCAGACACTGCGGTGAGGGGAGGGGCTTAGGAGAAGGGAGGGGCTTAGGAGGGGTGGGGCTTTGGGAGGGGGTGGAGCTTAGGGAAGGGGCAGAGCCAGTGGGCAGCTGGGGGTGCAGCTTAAAGTGGGCAGGACTTCCCTTATAAGGTTCTGAGGGTGTGGCCCCAGGGCACTAGGGAAGGGGCGGGGCTACCGGTTGGTGGAGCCAACAGAGGGGCAGGGATTGCATCCTCCCCCCCTCCCCCCTTGTTCCATTGCAGGAAGGGGTACCCCAAAATCAGCCCTGACCTTGACCCCGACCCTGACCCTGATGCTCAGCCCCCTATGAAGACCCTCATCAAGGTAAATGGGGGGACTTGAGGGGCACATTTGGGGGTGCTTTAGGGCTCGGAGCTCCCCACTGATGTGGGGTCCCCCTTTTGCACCCCCCAGGACTGCTGGGAGGATGTGGGGGGACTCTGGGACCTCATCCACTCCTCGGCCTCCCGCCTGTCCCCCCTGAGGCTCCGGCTCCTCCAGCTGCAGGAGGAGATCCAGCAGCGCCTGGAGGGGGACCCCAAAGCCCAGCAGGCTGCCAGGTAAAGCCCTGCACCACAAAACACCTCCCTGAACCCCAAAACCACATGTGCACCCCAAAACACTCCCCCTGCATCTCAAAACACCCCGCTGCACCCTAAAACCATCCCCCTGCACCCCAAAACACAGCCCCTGCATCCCAAAACAACCACTCCACATTCCAAAACCATCCCCTCTGCAGCCCAAAACACCTCCCTGCACCCAAAAACCACATGGTGCACCCCAAAACACTCCCCTGCATCGCAAAACCCCCCTGCACCCCAAAACCATCCCTGCTGCACCCCAAAACACACCCCCTGCATACCAAAACAAACCCCTACACACCAAAACTATTCTCCCTGCACTCCAAAACAATCCCCTGCATCACAAAACTCCCCCCTGTACACCGAAACCACCCTCCTGTACCCCAAAACACACCTGCACCCCAAATGTACCCTCCCTGCACCCCAAAACAACCCCCGTGAAGCCCAAAACGGCCCCTCTCTGCGTACCAAAACACCCCCTCTGCACCCCAAAACCCTCTGAAGGACCCTCCCAAATGCATCCTGCAGCCCAGTTTCACCCCCTGCACCAGAAAACTGCCCCTGGGCCCTCCCCCGTGACCTTTTCCTCCCCACTCCTGAACCTCAAAACCCTTTAGGGGCCCCCTCTATACTTTAAACCCCACTGGGTTTCCTTCTGAAGTGGGTGCTGGGCTCATAGGGGTCCTTAAAGAACCCCCAGATTCTCCCTAATCCCAGTGCTGAGACCCTTTGGGGTGCCCCCAACCCCTCCATGTTCCCTGCAGCCCTTTTAGGGTGTCCCCCCCCAAAAAAGTGTTCTGGAACCCTTTGGGTCCCCCAAGCTCCCCTCAGCGTTTGGCTTTGGGGTCCCGTTGCCCCCCAGGTTGATGCTGGAGGCCGCGGGGCTCTCAGGGGCTCGGGAGGCCCTGATCCAGCAGGTCCAGGATCTACGGGGCAGCCCCATGGACTCCCCAGAAGCTGCCCTGGGGCCACTGAGGAGGCAGCTACAGGAGGGGAAGCAGCGGCTGGTGGGTGCCAACGGGGGACTATGGGGATTTGGGGGGAATCCTGATGGGCTTGGGGCGGGGTGTCTGGGAAGTGGAATTTGATGGTTATGGGGAGGGGTTGGGGTCCCTAAAGGGTCCCAGCGCTGCTTTTTGTGAGGGATTCGGGATATTTGGGGGTCCTGGAGGGGGATTTTGGGTCTATAGGGGATGATATAGAGGAGTTTGGGGCTTTAGGGGGGATTTTGGGGTTCAGCAGTGCTGGGAGGGGGATCTGGGGCTTATGGATGGGTTTGGGGTGAAGGAAGAGGTTTTGGGGAGAAATATGGGGCGATATTTAAGGTGTTTGGGGTCTTGAGGGGTATTTGGGTCACTCCCATGGCTTTGGGGTCCCTCATTTCCTTGTGTCCCCCCCCTCCATCCCTTCCAGTCCCGCCGCTGGATCCAGCTCCGGGCTCTGGCCCCATCCAATGAGAAGCTCCGGGCGCAGCTGCACCTCCTGCAGGCCCACATGAGCAAAGAGGGGGAGGGAAGTGGGGCGGGGCTTAATGGTGAGTGGGTGAGGCCTCAGAGCTTTGGCCACGCCCCTTTCAGTCCCGAGGAGCTGTGCGGCTCCCCCCAGGGCTGCAGGGGGAAGGGCAGCGGCTGCAGGAAGCGCTGAGCATGCTGGGAAAGGAGAGGGTGCCCCTCCCCCCGAGGTGAGTGAATTGGGGGGGGAAGGGTGGTGGGGGAGGGGGGGGAAGGGCTGTGCTGACCCCTCCATTCTCCCTTTAGCCCCGCCCACAGCCCACTGCAGCCAATCAGACGCGCCCTAGGAATGGCAGAGAGTGAGGTGGGGGAGGGGCCATAAAGGGGGAGGGGAATTGTAAGGAGGGGCCATAGAGGGGGAGGGGAATTTGAAGGAGGGGCCATAGAGGGGGCAGGGGTCATAAATGGGGGAGGGCCATAAACGAGGAGGGGCAATGGAAGGAGGGGCCATAAAGGGGGGAGGGGCAATGGGGCCGTTGTTCAGGGGTGTTTGTGCCTCAGCCCCCACAGGGGGCACTGTTGTGGGCAGCAGAGCTGCGGGGGAGCTGGAACAGCTGCAGGGGGCGTGGTCAGCGGAAGGGGCGTCGTCAGCGGAAGGGGCGGACCCTGGAACCCCCGCCCACCCCGCGGTGAGTGAAGGAGATGGGGGGGTGAGCGTGTGGCCTGCGCTGACCCCGCCCCTTTGCAGCCCCCGCGGAGTGCGTGGCCATGGCCGAGCTCCTCCCCAGCTGCAGGCGCTGTCCATTCGGGTCCAGCAGTGCCTCGAGGGCTGGCCCCACCTCCAGGACGTCATCAGCCAATGGTGAGGCGGCGAGGTTGGGTCTGTGAGAGGCCACGCCCACCATGTGTGATGTCACATCCCCCCTTCCCCCCTCCTTTGTCTCCCATAGGTGGGAGCAGCCGGCTCAGTGGATACCAGCCACGCCCCCCAGCAACATCCCCTTCTCCCATTGGCTGAAGTGCTGGTCCCAGGCCACCTGTGCTCTGAACTTGCACCGCCCCCTCCCCTTAGCCCCGCCCACCAGCGACGAGGAAGGGTGTGACCAGAGCAAGCCCCGCCCCTGAGCCTCGGTTTCATCAGATGCTCCTATTGGATGGGGTGCAGGAGGCGGGGCTTGGAGGAGGGCGGGGCCACAAGGCGGAGGTCCTGGAAGCGGAATAGAGTAGGTCCTATAGAAATAAAGCAGTAAATAAAGCAGGTCCTGTGTTAATTATATGTAAATGAGGTTGCGCCCATGTTAATGAGATGCAAAGCATGTCTCCTGTTAATAAACTCGTCCTGCCTACAATAACAGCATGTCAACAAAGCAGAGCCTCCAATAACAATGCACAGATAATGTGTGGCCTACAGTAACACATAAATAAAGCAGGTCCTACAGTAACGAAAGTGTTAAACAAAGCAGGTCCTGACATAATAAATTCCCTAATCAAGCAGGACCTACAATAACAGCCTGGGAATAAAGTAGGACCTACAGGAATATGTAAATTAGACAGGCTCTATGTTAATAACAGGTACATAAAAGTAGATCCTACATTAAGAACTTGTAAATAAGTTACTTAGTAAAGCGGGTCCTGACAGTAGGTCCTACAGTAATGAAACTGTAAATACAACATATGAATAAAGTAAGCCCTATATTAATAACTCCCTCAACAAATTGGGTCCTACAATAATACCTCCCCGATAAAGTAGGACCTACAATAAGGGCCCATAAATGAAGTAGGTCCTGCCCCAATACCCTGTCAATAGAGCAGATCCGACAGCAACTGTACATAAAATAGGTCCTACATTAATAAGTGAGTAAATACAGGAGGTCCTGGCACAGCACCATGTAAATACAGGAGGTCCTACAGTAAGAACGTGCAAATACGAGTGGCTCCATGTTAATGACATGTAAATAAAGCAGGTCCTCCACTAAAAGGACACAAATTAAGTAGGCCCTCCATTAATAACATGTAAATAAGGAAGTGTCTGTGTTAGTAACATTTAAATAAGGTCAACCCTACATGAACTGCGTGTGAGTAAAGCAGGTCCTAGGCTAATTGCATGTAAATAAGGGGGGGGGTAACGGTGGGATGAGAAATGGAGAGGGATGGAGGGAGAGGGGGAGAAATGGCAGGAATGTGGGGAATGGGGGTGGGAAAAAGGGGGAGGGGGAATGGGGGGGCATAAGGGGGGGAGGGGAAGAGGGGACAAATGGGGGGGCAGGGGCAAGGAAAAGCCCCATATTCAGCCCCATGGGGGGCAGCCGGGACGGGCTTAAATGGGGACACGAGTTGGGGAGCTCAGAGCTCATTGGCTGTTGCCTAGGCAAGGGTCGCCAGATCGAGGCTGGAGGGGGGGGGGCAAGTTTGCCTGGCAACGCGCAGCGCGGTGGAAGCTCACTGGCCGTCGCCTGGCAACACGCAGGAAGCGGTATGTGGAGACCCCGTTGCCTAGCAACCAACCCGAAAGTGCGGCGAGCATCGCCGAACGGGGATGGGGAAAGGCCGAAATGCGGGGGTAGGGGGGAGAAGAGGCCTCGATTTCCTGTGAAATCTTTATTTATTGGTTAATTTTCCTTTTTATACATTCTTAAGGTGACGCCTCCTGCCTTCCCTCCCCTCCCCGCCCCCCCGGGCTATTTACATCGGTGTCAATAAGGCTTCGGATCGACCCCCCCCATCCCCCCTTTTTCCTCCCCTCTCCCATCCCGGGTATAAAGAGGGGGGAGATCCCCACCCCCGACACCCCCGGGTGGGGATGGGAGGTTGTGTTCATTGGGGACCATCCCCCCCCATCGTTTTGGAAGCTGAGGGCACCCAGGGGTGCTCCAGGAGTCGCTGCGGGGGGACCAGCCTCTGCCCAGCCGGCTCGGGGAGGTCCCTCACGGGCTGCTCTTCCTCAGTGCCTTTGGTCTGGAGGTGGAGCATGCGAGGGGTCACAGCTCAACGTGGGCCGTGGAACAGGGCGTCACGGCCACCTACGAGGAGTGGAGAGGGACCGACATTGGCACAGCAGAGAATCATGGAATCCCAGAGTGGGCTGGAAGGGACCTTAAAGCTCACCCAGCTCCAGCCCCCAAAGGCACGGGCAGGGACACCTTCCACTAGAGCAGCTTGCTCCACGGCCCTGTGTCTCTGTGCACTCCCAGGGCATCCTAGGGATACCCCTAGAGAATCCCAGAGAATGCCTGCAGCACCTCCAGAGCTCCCCATGGACCCAGTCAGAGCTCCTGCATCACAATGACCTTGGGGACATGGAGACCACAGGGGTGGCTGATTCTGGAACTCCCTGTGTTCAGGTGTGTGAGGCCGCAGAACCCCATGGAACCCTCCAGCAGAGGCACCGGGAGACGACAGCTGCCCCACGGAACACAAGCTACTGATGGAGGAGGCAAGAGCAGCTCCTCTGGTGGTTCCCGTCTTGGTGTCTCGGAGCCGGTGCCGCCTGTGGACAGAGGAGCGTGGAACGAGGTGGGTGGCGATGGCGATCTTGGGGTGCTGTAGGAGTTGCCAGAAAACCTCAAGAGACTTCCCCAGAGTGGCTGCTTTGGACTCGGTGTGTGAGTTGGGCTGGCTGAGCCGGCAGCGGAGCGCTGCGGCTTCCGAGGGATGATCCTGGGATCTGCCCTCATTTCTTGTGGGGAGAGCAAGGGCCTGTGGGGATGGGCCAAGGGGGAACGATTTTAACATGACAGAGAGGGGAGATTGAGATGAGATCTTAGAAGCTGTTCCCTGTGAGGGTGGTGGGACAGTGGCACAGGGTGCCCAGAGAAGCTGTGGCTGCCCCATGGCTGGCAGTGTTCAAGGCCAGGTTGAATGGAGCTTGGAGCAAGCTGCTCTAGCGGAAGTTGTCTCTGCCAGTGGCAGGGGTTGGAGCTGGAGGAGCTTTAAGGTCCCTCCCAGTCCAAACCATTGTGTGCTTCCGTGATATCCTCAAGTCCCCTGGGGGGAAGTGAGTGAACAAGCTGTCTGGCTCGGTTTAAACCACGACAGCAAAGCAAGGCAAGGCAAGGCAAGGCAAGGTAACGCCAGGCAAGACAGGCGAGTCCAGGCCAGGAGAGGCAAGACAAGGCAAGGGAAGGGAAGGCAAGGCCCATGAAGGGAAGGCCAGGCCAGGTCAGGCAAGGAAAGGAAAGGCCAGTTAAGGCAAGGCAAGGCTAGTCCAGGTCTAGACAGGCCATGCAAGGCCAGGTAAGGCCAGGTAAGGAAAGGCCAGGCAAGGCCAAGCAGGTCAGGTCCAGGCCAGGCCAGGCCAGGCCAGGCCAGGCTAATAAAGGCAATGCAAGGCCAGGAAATCACAGGGAAGGCAAAGCCAGGCCAGGCCAGAAAAGGACAGGCCACACAAGGCCATGCCGGGCAAAACCAGGGACAGCAGAGCCCCGGCCAGGCAAGGGCAGGCAAGGTCAGGCCAATCAAGGCCAGCCAGGGCAAGGCCAGGCCAGGCAAGGCCAGGCAAGGCAAGGTAAGGGAAGGCAAGGCAAACTTAGGCCAGGCCAGGCCAGGCAACGCAATGCCAGGTAATATAAGGCCAGGACAGGCAAGGGAAGGCTTGGTAAGGCCAGGCCAGGCAAGGCCAGTCAAGGCCATTAAAGACAAGGCAAGGCCAGGTCAGGAGATGCAAGGCCAGGCAAGGCAAGGCAAGGCAAGGCCATTAAAGACAAGCTAAGACAAGGCAAGGCAAAGCAAGGCAAAGCAAGGCCAAGCATGGCCAGGCCATGCCAGGCCAGGCTAGGTCAGAGAAGACGAGGACAGGCAGGGCAAGTCAGTGCAAGGCAAGGCAAGGCGTGGCTAGGCAAGGCAAGGATAGGCCAAGCCATGCAAGGCAAATCCAGACAAGGACATGCAAGGCAAGACAATGCAAGGCAAGGCCAGGCCAGGCCAGGATAGGAGATGCAAGGCCAGGCAAGGCACAGCAAGGCCAGGCCAGGATAGGAGATGCAAGGCCAGGCAAGGCACAGCAAGGCCAGGCCAGGGAAGGCCAGGCCAGGCAATTCAGTGCAAAGCAAGTCAAGGGAAGGGAAGGCAAGGCTGGGCCAGGTAAGGCCATGACAGGCAAGGCAAGGCCAGGCAAGGCGAGGCCAAACCAAGCCAGGCCTGGCAAGGCCAGGTAAGCCAATGCAAGGCAAGACAAGGTAAGGCAAGTCCACGACAGGCAATAGAAGGCCTGGTAATGTAAGGCAAGGCCAGGCCAGGAAAGGCCAGGCCAGACCAGGCCAGGCCAGGACCGGTCATACAAAACCAGGGCATGCCAGGCAAGGCCAGCCAAGGCAAGGCAAGGGAAGTAAGGCAAGGCAAGGGAAGGTAATGCAAGGCAATGCAAAGCAAGACTAGGCCAGGCAAGGCCAGTCAACACAAGGCAAGCAAAGACAAGGCCAGGCCAGGCGAGGCGAGGCGATGCGAGGCGAGGCAAGGCAAGGCAAGGCAAGGCGAGGAAAGGCTACACAAGGCGAGGAAAGGCTACACAAGGCGAGGAAAGGCAAGGTAAGGCATGTCCAGGACAGGCACTGGAAGGCCTGGTAAGGCAAGACAAGGCCAGCCTAGGAAAGGCCAGGCCAGGCCAGGTCATACAAGAGGAGGGCAGGCCAGGCAAGGCCAGGAAAAGCAAGTCAAGGCAAGACAAGGCCAGTCCAAGACAGGCAATGCAAGATCATGTAAGGCCAGCTAAGCCAAGGCCAGGCCAGGCCATAAAGGTAAGGCAAGGCCTGGCCATGCAAGGCAAGGGAAGGCCAGGCCAGGCAAGGCAAGGCTAGGCAAGGGAAGGCCAGGACAGGCAGTGCAAATCCAGGACAGGCCAGGCAAGGCTAGGCAAGGGAAGGCCAGGACAGGCAGTGCAAATCCAGGACAGGCCAGGCAAGGCCAGGTAAGGCAAGGCCAGGAGAGGCCATGCCAGTCAAGGCAAGGCAAGGCAAGGCAAGGCAAGGAGAGGCAAGGCAAGGAGAGGCAAGGCAAGGCAAGGACAATCTAGGACAGCTAATGGAAGGCCAGTGAAGGCCTGGTAAGGCAATGTAGGCCAGGCAAGGCATGGCAAGGCTAGGCAAGGCAATGCAAGGCAAGGACTGTCTAGGAGAGGTAATGCAAGGCCAGGTAAGGCCTGGTAAGTAAGGC